AATTTACAATAGAGCACCACTTTTATTGAGAAGTTACCTACAGTCAAATGTGGGCAGGGGGAATTATATTCTTTGAAGTACTGCATGCAGGATTTCAAAGATCAAATACACAGCAGAATGATGACGAGCAAATACACAGTAGAATGATAACGAGCTTCATAGATCTCCAGTCTGTATCAAAAGCCTCATGAAAAACAAATATAAAAGTTTCCCGATGCTGTCACATACAGATTTGCTTGATTAACAAATACAGAGACATGATGTTTTTCAACCCTTGTCTGTCGTGATACCTTCCCCACCCCCCCCCCCCCCCCTAGATCTTTTTATTTCACCTGATGCAAAATGATTTTTTAAGGGGGGGGGGGGCGGTGAGGGGGGGTTGGCCCTTTGTTACAGCTTCCTTGAGTGTCACTTGTTCCTCTCTTTGCTTCCATTTGAATGCTGGTTAGTCTTCATCCATGTCATCCTTTGCTGATCGAAAAGGCTTCTTCTTACCATCTTGTTTTCCAGGAATCTCCTTTGTTGACACACGTATACCAACCGACACATCGTTGTTCTCTACACCAGTTATCTAAGTATCAGACCTTTGCATTGCTCGAATTTCACTGAGTACAAATAATTCTGAAGAGACTGGGTGTGAACTGAGATCGATAGATCAGTTGGTCCCACCCCCTTCTCCCCCTCCCCACCTCCGCAGGGGTGCTAGCTACATGTTTGAATGCCATTCTGAGATTTAAATATACATCAGTCTGGATGGCATGCTAGCAAGGAGATTCCAGATACCCCGTTCAACTTGAAAAAAAGCTAGTATAATTACACTAGCCAGGTGTCACCTGAAGTCCTAAGCGAGTGGCGACGTTACTGTGAGTGGGGACGTTACTGCAAGTGGGGACGTTACTGCGAGTGGGGACAGAACTGCGAGTGAAGTCGGAACTGCTAGTCTTTGAAAGAATTAAACATGAGACAATTTAAACATTTCCTCCACATTAAAATATCGACATTCTTATAAAACCTACATTGTAGGGAGAAACTAAAGGCAAGCGAGCACGGGGTAAACATCGATACAAATGGGAAGATTCAGTCAAGAAAGGGACAGACAAAAATCTCAGAGAGTTTAAAATCATGATGTCGCCTTCAATGGCCTTTGTGCATTCTCCGTGCTTGCGATGATGGTTGACATGTTCTGTTCTGGTTTATAGCTTTGTTACGACACACACATAAAATAATAATAATGAATCGTCTTTTACGACAAGCTTCTGAGTGGCAGTGGGTATACTTCTCTCGCAGTGTAATGACAACAACATACAGTGGTTGCATGCGCTGCTAGGTACGAGAGGACACCGATGGGACACTGTTAGCTAGCAATACGTGACGTGCACAGGAGATGTAAATGTGATAAATGGGAGCTTGCAGTTACACGTCACACATATTAATAAGGCGTGTATTGTACAGCAGGCCTGATGGAAAGTGACAGGGATTGTACATATGGAGAGTAGAGTAACGCCTGTGTGGCAGGGGTGTAGACACTACACATAGAGAGTAGAGTAACGCCTGTGTGGCAGGGGTGTAGACACTACACATAGAGAGTAGAGTAACGGCTGTGTGGCAGGGGTGTAGACACTACACATAGAGAGTAGAGTAACGCCTGTGTGGCAGGGGTGTAGACACTACACATAGAGAGTAGAGTAACGCCTGTGTGGCAGGGGTGTAGACATTACACATGGGGAGTAGAGTAACGCCTGTGTGGCAGGGGTGTAGACACTACACATAGAGAGTAGAGTAACGCCTGTGTGGCAGGGGTGTAGACATTACACATGGGGAGTAGAGTAACGCCTGTGTGGCAGGGGTGTAGACACTACACATAGAGAGTAGAGTAACGCCTGTGTGGCAGGGGTGTAGACACTACACATAGAGAGTAGAGTAACGCCTGTGTGGCAGGGGTGTAGACATTACACATGGGGAGTAGAGTAACGCCTGTGTGGCAGGGGTGTAGACACTACACATAGAGAGTAGAGTAACGCCTGTGTGGCAGGGGTGTAGACACTACACATAGAGAGAAGAGTAACGCCTGTGTGGCAGGGGTGTAGACACTACACATAGAGAGTAGAGTAACGCCTGTGTGGCAGGGGTGTAGACACTACACATGGAGAGTAGAGTAACGCCTGTGTGGCAGGGGTGTAGACACTACACATAGAGAGTAGAGTAACGCCTGTGTGGCAGGGGTGTAGACACTACACGTGGAGAAAAGAGTAACTACTATTTGGTATGGCCGTAGTCACTACACATGGAGAGTAGCGTAACGCATATGACGGAGCACGGCCTCAATTGGAGAAAAAAGTGGGAGGTGGGGGCGTGCGGTATTTACTATATATTTTACAGTAAAAACAATTGATTGTTTTTTTACAAGATAGAGTAAAGAAATGAAAACAGCTGATTGTGTTATTTTGCTGGATATCCTAGAGTGCTTCAGAAAATGGCAACATTCAGTACCTCTGTAGGAAGGTTCACTTCACCTCTCGAATCTGGTGCCACTCATATTTCATATTATCCAATAATGAATGATTGGGTCAACATCGCATCGGCCTCCTTTACTTGCCAGAACGTTTCCTGCAAACATATTCCGCTGCGTCGACCTGGGAGCCAGGATCGTGAAACCAAGATATCTTTACTTTAAGTTACCTTTGCAGGCCCTTTGAATGCTTCCTGCCGTCTTACTTAGCCGCGTCTGCGGCTTAGACCTTGCCAGTCGTAATTCCAACGTACCGAGATCGAAACCCACTGCTGGCTGTGTGCATTTTTATCATAGTATGGGGCGTCGCAGGTCGACCCTGCCTATAATGGGTACCAGGATGGATGTCCCGGGGAAGTAAAGACGGCTGGCGTAATGCTGACTACATTACCCACCTAGTGCCGATTGGTCTGTAAAAATAAGGGGTTCTCTTCCTATTTGCCCGATGCGCCTTAGGCGTAAAAATGGATCTTTACTTTTTGTTACTTTTTATTAGGGGTGTACCGAATAGTGATTTTCAGTGTTCGTCCGAATACGAATAACGGGGCCAACTATTCTCCCGAATACGAAAACGAATAGTTTATCATCATCATCACCAGGTGCCTTGCGGACTGGCGTGGGCGATTGTGCCTCGCCACAATCTGCGATCTCCTGCAGCATGTATCAGTTCGTGTGTTCACACAACTCCATGCCATGCAACAAGACTGTCAAGAATCTTCAGTCGTTGTCTTTCTCTATCCCTCCTTCCACAGATCTTTCAAGTGGTCACCACATGTTCAATTTTCCCTCTTCTCATAACATGGCCGAAAAATGACGACTGTCTCCTTCTGATGTCTGTGATTAGTTGTCCTGCCTCTTTTAAAACCTCTTGGTTTTTTTGTTGTTGTTGCTGTCCAAGGTATTCTAAGCATTGTTCTTTAAAACCACATCTCAAGAAATTGTTCATTTTTAGCACGCTGCTATTGACATTTTATGCAGTATGATACACTTTGAGCGTGAAACAATGGGGGTGGGGGGGGGGGGAACTTTTTTCGACAGTGGAAAGACAATTTAAATTTTAGCTTTTAAGTATCTTCATGCCCTTTTTAATAATGTCACAATTTATAATTTTCTTGATTTTCGCTGCTGCACCCCTGGCATACGCACCCAGTTTGAGAACCTCTGCTGTAATGTCTTGGTCAAGTCAGCAGGCAAAGGCTTTCCCAGCTGCTATACCACGCAACCGGGTCTCAGTTTCCCCCGCTACGAAAGACTTAAGCAACAGCAACTATTGAGTTAATGAGAGAGTTTTTTCAGTCCATCGCAGTATATGCACAAACGGGAGTAATGTAACCACCATTCGGCACTGAAGCGATTACGAAACGAATATTCAGTACAGCCCTACTTTTTATAGCTTTACTCGTTTCGAATCATTGTGTGTCAGAAGATTTACCTATACTCCACGCAGAAACATTATCAGCAATCTTCTTCCAGCTCACATTATCTATTGACACTTTTAGTTAATTTGTCTCTGTCGTACTTGTTACACATATTTTGGTCCCACTTCCTCTCTTTTCCCCTTCTCCCGGGTAGTTCTGACTCGCATTCTCTCTTTCCGCCTTCTCTCTGGTATTTTTTTCTTTTTTTTCTTCCTTCTCCCAAATATTTCTGACGTACTTTCACGCTCGACGCCTGTCTTCCAGATATTTCTGACTGGCTGCTCCTCTTTCTTCCTTCTCCTAGGTATTTCTGACTCACGGTCTCTCTTTCTTCTTTCTCTCAGATATTTCTGATGTCCTTTCTTCTCCTATTTCTCTCCGATACCTTTTACTTACATTCCCGCGTCCCACCTTTCTCTCAGATATTTTCAAAGCACTCCCTCTCTTCCCTCCTTTTCTGTTATTTCTGACTTGTTCCTGTCTTCCCTTTTTCTGCCAAGTTTATCTGGTACAAGATCTCTTACAGCTTTCTCCTATATCTTTTTGATTTTTGTCTTTTCCGTCCTTTCTCCCAGAGATTTCTTGCTCACTGTTCTGCTACCCTCACCCTTCCCGGCCCCATTTGCTCTTTCTCCGATATATTTCTGAAATTTTTTCCCCTACTTCTTCCAGATATTTCCGCTACATCCACCCATCCCTCTTCCATCCTTCTTGCAGATAGTTCTGACATACTCTCATATCTCGTTTCCTGTATTTCTTGATCATTTTTGATATTCCACCCTTCTCGCAAATATTTCTGACTTTCTGTCTTCACTCGGTTACCCCCTCTATTTCTAACTCAATTTCTTTGTGCCATCCTTCTCACATATATTTCTGACGTTCTGTCTTCACTCGGTTACTTCCTCTATTTCTAACTCAATTTGTTTGTACCATCCTTCTCACAGATATTTCTGACGTTCAGTCTTCACTCGGTTCCCCTCTATTTCTTACTCAATTTCTTTATGCCATCCTTCTCACTGAAATTTCACTTCTGATGTGTCTAAATCACTCTCCATATTCCACCCTACTTCCAGATATTTCTGACCGCCACGTCAGCAACATTGTTCAAGGCCACCAAGAACCAGCTGTATTTCCGTGAGTTTATCGTCTTTGTGCCAGAGTCTTGGAAGTCCAGGCAACACTACGAGAACTCGCTGGACGTGGAACTGGACAGGGCACAGATTATAGTCGACAGGTAGGTTGACCAGCAAATCTTTCAGTAAGGTATGTCTCCTTGCAAACCCTTAGGATAACCTTGGCGTCATGGTACTATATTTCCTCGAAAGAAATACCAGATCTTATATTAATGTTTGCTCTTAAAGACTCTTTGAAGATTATTTTACGTGACAGTTTGTGGCATATCCTTTGCAGAATCAACCCTAGAATGTATTGGCTGTTGTGGTTTTTCTATGCACATGTTACGTTCAGTAGTTTTTCAGGTAAAACAATTACTGAAATCTATATTTGTTCAGGTTAAACAAACAAAACAAAAACAAACAAAAATAGATTTTATCTGATCCTTGTAGAACAGCTTGACCACTGGGACTTCGTTGATGAAATTTCTCTTGTATCCCATTTATTAAATTAGGTGCGATATGAATGACCTCAACTTGCTAAGAAATGACAACAGTTATGTCTACAAATGTATGCTGGCAAACTTAAACTATTTAAATTGATTGTCAAATCAGTACTGCTGTATGATGCTGAAACATAGAGAATAACTAAAATTATTACCAACATTTTTTAAAAATTTAATAACATACTTGCGCAGAACAGACGGCGCTATATGTCTGCATGGATAACTAATTTATAATTGTTGGAGAGCATGAAAAAAAAAATATCATTGAAACAAGAAGTGAGGAAAAGATATTAGATGCACAAAATTAATATGAGGAAAGTAGAGAACGTGACCATGAAAGGGAGAAGAAATATGCATGACCACATTTTGCGATGGTCAGTTGGCTGACGCATCTTAACCTTTACCACATTCTAACACAGTATATATATCAAAAGCATTTATTTCTGCATTTTTCAAACACTTTTTCACAATAAAAACGAATTAAACAAATGATATGTTCTATTCCGGCCTAGTGCCGACCACAGTACCCACCTAATGTCGAATGGTTTTAAACATTTGAGCGCTCTTCCCATATGCCCTATGCGCCTAAAGGTGTGAAAAAGGATCTTTACTTTACTTACTCTATGTTTTATTATTTGCTTGTTACAAGAGCGAATCTAGCTCACATTAGTTATGCAAGTTCCCTTCCCCCCCCCCCTCTTTTCCCCAAATGTTCCGACCTGGCAACAAGGCAGGTCAAATTAAATTTTGACCAGAAAAGAATAATGACGGTGCAAATAGGGGGGAAAAGGGTGGGGGGGGGGGGGGGGCGCAGGTCACGGATTTAATGAATAAAAGCAACATGGAGATGATCAATTTTGCAAACAGATTCTGTATTCATAATTATTTGCGACAGAAAATGAACCACCAGTTAGATAGGATCTTCATTGAATTATATCGTTGGTGGGTGCATTATATGATTATGCTTCACTTGATAACTGCATGTTTGAAACTATTTCTGCCTTTTTATCTTCTATTAAACAAATAGACGTTACTTAATTATGACATTAAGAAAGTAACATACTATGTAGGTAACATTTACATATGTGATATGCCCATTTCCTAAACATGTTTGTTCTGTGACGGGAGAAGTGTTTAGAGGATATCATAAAAAGAAACCAGTAGAAAATCACTAGGCAGTCACTTACTTGGGAAACAAATGGATTGAGGACACCGGGACGTGGAGAGAACGCTAAAACAAACAATAATGATAGAGACCAAAAGTGCGGGACTGGATTTCATCCTAGATATAGAAAAGCAGGACCCTGCTGTGCTGTGATACAAAGCCCCGGACGCATCAGGCGGCTGAGTAAGGCATAAGCAGCGAAATCAAAATAGATTTTGAATGTTTGATCTGACAAGGTGAAGCTTTTCGAAGAATTGCATCATATACTGAGAAAATCTACCGCATCGAACTGTCGAAAAGCGTGCATAGGATAAAAGGGAATTATGTGATGTATGATGACACAGTGAGCTAGGGAAGATGACGATAATGAAGATAACTGAGAAGTTTACAGGAATGGTGCCTTATATTTAATGTTTTACCATCGGTACTAATTGTTGTTACTTTGATCTACACAATGTACCCCAGGTCTAACCCAGGCTACGGAGACGCGCCCTATGTCAAGCAGTATGCCGAGTGTGGATCACCGGGTCTGTACATCCACTTGACTCCTGGATACCTTCTGGATGACGCGGTGATTCAAAAGTGGGGTCGACCAGGTAGGGTTGTGAGGGCAGAGTGTGTGCACTATAATAGCCAAGTTTTCCTGGAAGATATATTGTTTATAGTGACTTCCTAGCGTGAGTTCCAGACTCCATGGGGAAGGGGCTTGAAGAAACCCCCCGCACCTGCTAAAGGTTAGGTAATTATCCTTTACAAGAAGTTGCAGAATCTTTTAACAGAAGTTTCCCAGCAGACTCTCCAGACATGATGTTCACCATATTTACAGCAGCCGGTAGAATCAATTATGCTGCGATGGTATGAGGCTTCTTACATTTCATAGTTCTGTAAGCCACCTTGTAAGATGCTTGCAAAGCGCTGTTTGGTATTGATGCTGTGTGGAAAAAATTGTATTTTTTATAAATGTTGTTAAAGTTCTTTTTACTTCCTGGCGAAGCAATCACGAGATTGACCAACCATGCTGTGGTGATTAGCTTCTAAATGTTGCTTCAATTTACTTGGAAGCCTACACTCTGTTGCTAAAACTTTCATACATAAGACACATTGTGGTCTCTCTTCTCCATTAATTTATGTTGCCGTAAAACCAAACTCTAAATAACTGCTATCCTATTTACCATATATTTTGTTTCTTCACACTCCTGCCACTGATTGATGATGGCATACTTTCTATATTTTCACTATTACGTTGTTACTGTTCAAAACTCGGTCTATTATTTTAAAAAACAAGAGCCAAAAATTACAAAACTATTTATCAAACACAACAAACGAGAAGTAATATATCTAACTAAATTACAACTAAGCGCTGAGCTTAGCTTTAAATTGTAAGTCGACGTCGACTGACTGAATCGAGCCAGTAACCTTGCTTATATTCTTTCCGCAAGATCTTTCAGAACATTCCAAATCTGTCGCAAAGAATCTGCGCATCTAGTGAGATCATATGGCGCGATGGAGAAGACGCAGCGTTGCTGGCACGCGTTCACAAGGATATTCTGCACCGGCGCCCTTCATTTTCATACAAGGTCCAATGAAAACACATAACGCACACACACACATCTAAACAATTTTCGCTTCTCACGCTTTTGTTAAGTTAGGCTAAATGTCTTGGTTAAATTAATTATAAAGCTTTTGCAGTATTTCGAGGCACCTCCGTGAAAAGGTCGTGGCTCCCCGGGACGCCGCGGCTCACAGTTTGGGAATCACTGCTGTTGTGGGTACATTGCATTCTATGATGTTATCAGGATATGTTATATACATGTGGTCTATAAATATTGACGATAATTTTGTGAAACTAGTTGACAGATGGACAAACCGGCAGACAGACACACCGACGGACAGACAGATCAGACCAGGCAGACAGACAGACAAACACTGCTAACACCTCAGCATTAAACGTTTGCCTCCAGAGAAAACCCTGGTGCACGAATGGGCTCACTTGAGGTGGGGTCTGTTCGACGAGTACCCAATCGACGCTCAAGACGACGCCTTTTACAGATACGCAGGACTGTGGCAACCAACCAGGTGAGTAAAGTAGACGACCCTCTTCCACGCCTTTAGGCGTATAGGGCATATAGGGCTAGACCTTTTTTTTTATAAACCATTCGGCACAAGAGGTATGATGTGGTCTGCATCCGGCTGACCTCCTTTACTTCCCGGGACTATACCCGGTACTAACTCAAGGCTGGGTCGACCTGGGAGCCAAGGTCATTTTTGAGAAAAGTCCTGCTCCGCCAGGGAGCGAACCCACGACCTTCCGATTCGCAGCGAGCGTCTAGTGGCTCCGCCACGGCGACTCCCAGCCAACCAGGTACGTGATCTAAACTTATGGGCCAAACCCTGTGAGGAAGAAAGCAGACTGTAGCGCTTGTACGATCAGGGCGCTGGAACTTATGGGGTTAGGGCTTCTTAAACCTCTCTAACAATTATTGTGGACGGGCACTCAACACACCCACCCCACCCCACCCCCAACTCCCCCCCCCCCCCCCCCCTCGGAAACGTTCTCTGTTGAAGTATTAGGTTTGTATTATTAATGTGTAATGCATTTCATATTATTGTAAGTGTAATATTAGCTCCCAATGCGATACAAAACATTACAGCAAGCACATTGGACAACTTTACCGTCACCACTTGATGTTATACTGGGATATAGCTGTTCTTCAAATACCATGTTATTTTTTACACTATTGTTTCCTGTTTGTCTGTCCCAGAAAAAGGTTAAAGTGACCGAAACGTCGTACATTTATATACATATGTAAATATATACTGTTGATATACATGTTTCTTTTTTGTATTGTTTTATTTTGTCATTGTTTACGTGAATTCTTTTGCTGCGTTTAATTCCTGTGAAGGTAAAAGGTTATGTCCTTATGTTTTTGTGGCTGTTTTTCTTTAGCAGGTTTTCATTACATAATAAAAAGTAAAGTAATGGCCAATAAGACAGATGTAGTCAGGGCAATGTGGGATAACGTGTGCAGTTCAGAGGAGCAAAAAGATCACCACAGCCTTAGTGAGAGCGATGCCGCGGAGACAGATGATGGAATCTGTCTGATACTCCACGCTCGGAGGAAAGGCAAGACGGACGCATATCAACATGCTACTGCAACCATTAATGTTCGAAGTCTGCGCCGGCTGCTGAAGAAAGGGACATAGCGCTTATGGGAATGCCCTGAGTGTTGTGACGTCTGTTCTTGAATCAACTTAACACAACTCAAGTGATAGTCAGTTGTGCCTCAGGCTTATGAAGTTACACTCAGACTCTGTAAACCAATCTACATTTGTTGGGTGATGTGGTTAACATCACACCGGTCCTTTACTTCCCAAGACGTTTCCATGTCTTAAGCTCCGTCGATCTGGGAGCTAAAATTATTTTTGACTTTAAAAAAAAAACCGCTTCAGTGTAGATTTCAGCCTTTTCTACGAACCGGAAGGTGATGAGATTTCAACAAATCTTTTATATTTTTGTTTCCTCGATTTGTTATCAATGCTCCTTTACTTCCCACCTGGTTTCCATGTTTTTTGTTTTTTTTTTTTTTTTTTTTTTTTTTTGTTTTTTTTTTTTTGCTTAGCTTTTAAACTAAGACGCGTATGAAAAAAAAAAAAAAGAAAGGTCCCCTTAAAAACTATTGTTTCTTATGCCGCATTCAGAACTCAAGACATTCAGATAAACGCTTAGTCTCCATATTTTGCTTCCAGCGCAGAGTTCTCTTGGTAATTGTCTGTGCTGTATTCATGTTACACGTTTTATTTTTTACTGCTCTGTGCCCTGCGTGATCACATGGTCGTTTCTTTTTTGCATCAATATGACTGAGCAGAGGTGATTTGCTTGATCTTCCTTGTTGTCAAGATGCTCTTAAAGTGTCTTTATCACATCTGCATTTCACACATCAATTCAAAACACCACACTGCAGAATCAGCCAGTCTGTCAGCTTATTTATTTCTCAATACACTGCTATCCATTAGAGAAAAGTTCAAGAGGATATCGACTGCTGTCTGCCGCAGAAAGCCAGATATGCCACTCTGCAAGCAACACAATGTCTTCGTCATTCTCCTAATGCCTAGTGAGTCCGCTAAAACAACGACACCTTCTTCTTCTTCTTCTTCGTTCACCGGCTGTGAATTCCGGCGGAAGGTCCCGGTTAATCGTCCGCTTGGACTTTTGGCTTTTACCTGGACCTGAGTTTTGCGTGTACAACCGTTTTGTTGTTCCCTGCCTCATGGGCAGCTGTACTCCGACTTCGAGGGAACAACAACGACACCTGTATGCAGATGATTCCCCAGAAAACCCTGCACTGGCTTTTGTCAGTGGCCCTAAAACATAACGTCACGGTTGAACTTGTACTCAGGAAAGGGGAGCGGTGGGAGGGGTCGGGGGGTGGGGGGGGGGGGTCAACCACCAGGAGGTAATCGCTCGTTGTGCGGTCCTTTTGGGTTGAACGTCACCGACTCCCCAAAAAGTGCGGGAAACGAGCTGACAAAGAATAAAAAGATTGGAAAGACACGGAGTCAGCTGCAGACAATGGCACAAAACAGGACGGCATACCGAGTTTGTTGAGGTCATTATCGAAGTGGATGAAGAAAGAGAGAAGGAAGAAGCAGGAGCTACAAGAAGGATGAAGAGATGAAATAGGATAAGAAAAAAAAAAAGAAAAACCTGAAGCAGACGAAGAAAAAGAAGAAGAAGAAGAAGAAGAAGAAGAAGAAGAAGAAGAAGAAGAAGAAGAAGAAGAAGAAGAAGAAGAAGAAGAAGAAGAAGAAGAAGAAGAAGAAGAAGAAGAAGAAGAAGAAGAAGAAGAAGAAAAAGTTGGAGCAGTTAAGGCATGAACATTTTTTTCTGGTTAAACAATTATAATGAAAACTGCAGACGACACCAAAAACCTCGTGACAGTAAGAGAAATCTCTGCCCCAAATGGTGGTGACATTTGCTATAACATTTATTTACTGCTCATGCAGGGTTTGTCGTTATGGCCACACCTCCCGGAAGTGGGTGCATGAAAAAGCCGGCGCTATACTATTATTATTGTTTCATACACGGAAAAAGAAGTGGACACAAAAGCTGGTACCAACGATAAATCTTGCTCCGTGCAGACAGCTTTTTTGTCACCAACTTTCCTACAGCTATTTTTACCGTAGCTCCTCTAATATATCAATATCACTGGCTTGGCTGCTACAATGACCATCCTTGGCGGTTGCTTGCTCGGCTCGGCTTGCTTTGCGAAACACAAATCGTAATGTTTAACCTGCATCCTCACATGGTTAGCTTCAGGTTATAATTGTGACTTGGTTATGTGCCCCATACAAAATTGCCACCAAGCAGTCCTGAAATGCAGTGTTGATACTATCAAAGGAGACAGACCCAGATACTGTCCCGACCGGCGACGAACTCGTCCAACGGCCAGCCAATGCGCGACCCCGTCACCACTGTGTGTGTTGGCTGTTGCGAACAGTATGCTATTTTATATAGAAGTAGGACCTGTCAGGTTGTGTGGTTAGAGCGCAAGCCTGATTATCCGGTGGTCGTGTATTCGAAATTTACACCAAGCGAGTATTTTCTAGAAATGCTGACCTTGGTGCAGACCTCGATCTAACGTAAAATAAATGTATGGAAATGTTCTACAAAGTAAAGGCAGGTGAGGGTAATATTGGCATTATGATCAAAAGCTCATGCCCTGATGGTCATGTTTCTGTAATTCCTTTGTTGGCAGGTGTTCTACTGAAGTGGACGGTTCGATTCTCAATGAGTACACAAGCGGCTCCTGCAAATTCGACTTTTTCACTGGAAAACCCGAGAAAGATTGTCGATTCTTCCCTCGCATGGCGGCAAATAAGGCTGCTTCTTCTTTGATGTTTATGCAGTATTTAGATAGTGTAAGTCTAAACGTGTGTCCATTCTGCCCGACCATTTGCCTGTTTGCACAATTGCATGTCTGTCTGCTTGTATAATCTACATATAATTAGTTTATCTATAACATTATAATTATGCAATTATCAGGTGTTTTTAATGTATTTCAGTCAGTCTATTTTATTACCTTTAAGAATATACATGTCCAGTCTCTCAGCATTATTATTATTAAATAGCATTACAATTCTATGGCGAAGTATCAACGAGGAAAACAAAGTCAAAATTTTTAGAGCATGCACAACATACGGATGTGAGTTATAGACTATCTCCAAGTTGGACTATCTCCAAGTCCTTACGGAAGACAATATAGGCTTTTGTGCCGAAGTATTATAGAAAGATTCACGGAAACAATGGACAACGATTAAAGGCAATACTGAGATTCTGCAAGATCCGAACATCAAAAAAGACTGGCTAGTCAACAGCATCTTGTCTCTGAAACAGAAATGTTTTGGCTATATCAAAAATCAAGGTGGATTGGAACCAATGGTGGTGGCTAGTGGCAAGGTACCGGGAAAGAGGGACTTGGACCGAAGATGGGCACAGGATATACGAGTCATCTTAAGAAAAAAGGGCGCTAGGCGAGAGAGCTGCGAGGGACTGAGTTTCTCTCAGGCAGGCTATCGTGAGGGCTATGTTCTGTAAAAGACGAGTTACATGATGAGGGTTATTACAAACACATCTGACCCACATACCGTAACAACTTATTATAAGGTCAAAGCTGAAGTAACATGAGTTTGACAATATAAGCGTTAAGGTGACCTCGATAACCCATAATATCCGTGATGTTTCAGATCGTGGCTTTCTGCGATGATCCGGTAACTGCGCCTAGACACCTCAAGCACAACTTCCTAGCCCCAAACAGACAAAACCGCCTCTGTCAGTACAAGAGTGCATGGGAAGTGATGAGAAAACACCCGGACTTCGCTAAACGTAAGTGTCATTTTAAACAATTGACTGTATTACTCCCTCTCCGTCTTCCAGGCCACCCATTATGTCAGCAAAATTAGAATAGACCCTAAACCACAGGGTTAATGTCTACTAATTGCATCAGCTAAATATGGATGTGTTGGGTCGAAAGACGCAGATATCGTAGCTTATCTGTAAAATTGAAGACAGTGTATCAACCACCATTGTAGGGCGAAGACACAAGGAAAAGGGATGCAAAAAGATGATGATTATAAAATGTTCATGCTGAGGTAATGATAAGGATAGAAATAATGATAATGATTTTTATGATAAAAAAGGAGAAAAAGAAGAAGAGACGAAGAAGAAATAGAAGAAGAAGAAGAAGAAGAAGAAGAAGAAGAAGAAGAAGAAGAAGAAGAAGAAGAAGAAGAAGAAGAAGAAGAAGAAGAAGAAGAAGAAGAAGAAGAAGAAAAGCAGAAGAAGAAGAAGAAGAAGAAGAAGAAGAAGAAGAAGAAGAAGAAGAAGAAGAAGAAGAAGAAGAAGAAGAAGAAGAAGAAGAAGAAGAAGAAGAAGAAGAAGAAGAAGAAGAAGAAGAAGAAGAAGAAGATGAAGAAGAAGAAGAAGAAGAAGAAGAAGAAGAAGAAGAAGGAGGAGGAGGAGGAGAAGGAGGAGGAGGAGAAAATTGAAAATAAGAAGCGATTGTGATGGTGATGATGACGATAAAGGAGAAAGATGACGAAAAAAGAAAAGAAAACACTTTTTCTATTTGTTCAACAAGTGTCCCGACTTTGCATATCAACACTTCAACATGATGCTAAATGCTTGTTTTCCCCAGGCAAGAAGCCTCTTCCACGAAACACGGACACTCGGCCTAGATTTCGCTACGTGCAAGCTCACCCAAGAAAACGTGTCTTAGTGCTGGACACCTCTGGAAGTATGACCGTAAGTTTGTCCATTTTTTACAAAAACTACCGTCAATCATAAGTCCAATCCCAACCTTGGCGGCCTCTTACGACATGCATAGTAGAGTGCCATGGTACTATTACCCAGTTGTTCTTCTGTTTCTTCTTAATCTTCTTTGGCGTTCTCAGTCAAAAGAATGTATGGCAGGTTGTGTTGTGGTTAACATCTCTACGCGAAGTAAGACGTGTGCGAGAACAAAGTGATGGCTGTGAATCTGCAACCATGGCCAGACTGCAAAAACCGCATGTTAAAAGAGGCTTCACGGTTTCGCTGCCTCAATTACTGAGTTTAGTGCAGCACGGTGAGCTGTGTTTTTCATGGGAAATGCCTTTCATGTGTGCAGCGGTTGAGCCGTAACGGGGTTTTAAAAATGGCCGGTAGTTTTTTACATGTGGGCTGTTAAAATACTTTATGTAATAATGTTACGTGTGTATAGCCAATGTATCGTGCCAGACAACTTCTATCAACGATAGAAACTGCATTTCTGGTAGCGACTGTTGGCTTAGGCGCTTCTAGCAACTGCCATATGCATTTACTGCGTGCGCATATTTCCAGATTGCACCGGGACAATGGTTTGTTTACCAGTTTTGCAAATGGGACAGTGAGGGACATTTCCTTGATTTTCACTGGCACAGGAACGAAACAAGTATGGAAAACTCGATTGCAATAAAGTTAAAGCATTGACTAAGACTAGGAGTTTAAAAAACGTGTGCTGGAAACCAAAGGAGAATAAGAAACCAACACAGAACGGGGGTCATTAGCCGCTACACGCTGCGGAATTTACTACAGAGGGGATCTGAGCACTGGCTGACTAAACAGTCTGATGTGCAATGAGGATAATCTGTCGATTAAATATCTAACAGCTAGGATACGCTATCTGCGTTAGCAGCCCAACATCTTTCAGCAAACCGTTAGCTAGTCGCCTTTCACAAGGAGGCAAAAGGCCTTTTCATTGTCTCCCAAGATGGAGACCCGAAAACCCACACAAAGTCATCTGCCGTTCGGAATGTCTCAGGCTCTAATCCGCAAAAGAGACCGATATTTACTCTCAGGTAGGTCCAGCTAATAACGGGTTCCGGAAAATTCCACGGGAAGTTAAAGCAGCCGAGTCATTGGATGTGAAGTTAAGGCAGCCGAGTCATGGGATGTTAAGTTAAGGCAGCCGAGTCATGAAATGTGAAGTTAAGGCAGCCGAGTCATGGAATGTGAAGTTAAGGCAGCCGAGTCATGGGATGTGAAGTTAAGGCAGTTGAGTCATGGGATGTGAAGTTAAAGCAGCCGAGTCATGGGATGTGAAGTTAAGGCAGCCGAGTCATGGGATGTGAAGTTAAGGCAGCCGAGTCATGGGATATGAAGTTAAGGCAGCCAAGTCATGGGATGTGAAGTTAAGGCAGCCGAGTCATGGGATGTGAAGTTAAGGCAGCCGAGTCATGGGATGTGAAGTTAAGGCAGCCGAGTCATGGGATGTGAAGTTAAGGCAGCCGAGTCATGGGATGTGAAGTTAAGGCAGCCGAGTCATGGGATGTGAAGTTAAGGCAGCCGAGTCATGGGATGTGAAGTTAAGGCAGCCGAGTCATGGGATGTGAAGTTAAGGCAGCCGAGTCATGGGATGTGAAGTTAAGGCAGCCGAGTCATGGGATGTGAAGTTAAGGCAGCCGAGTCATGGGATGTGAAGTTAAGGCAGCCGAGTCATGGGATGTGAATGTGGCTGATGTGATGTTGACCACATCATCTATCCAATGCCGACTGGTTTAGCCAGGCCTTATTTTTCCCCAAAGTGCCCTAAAAAGAACGTTGGTTTTCACCATAAGGTGTTCAGAAAAAAGGGTGCCGGTAATCACCATTAGGTTCTAAAGACGGCTCCAGTCGTCACCATGCTCACCACCAAGTGTATGTTACAGTCCAGGTTGAAACAAAAAAAGGTATCTCAAAAAGGGTCCCGGTACTACGAACTGATGCGTACCGCCAGAAAAAATATACCTTTGTTTAGCTTGTGTAATGCATGACTGATGTGAAAAAATGGTTATTTTTAAATTATGAAGTTCTAGCCTCTCTCTCTCTCTCTCTCTCTCTCTCTCTCTCTCTCTCTCTCTCTCTCTCTCTCTCTCTCTCTCCTCTCTCTCTCTCTCTTTCTTTCCCTGTGTGTGTGCGCGTGTGAGTGTATGTGTATATTTGAGTAACATGAAATTATTCACAAATGCACATGGAACAGTAAAGAAAACCAAGCAAGACAACAGTGAGAAATACGAAGAAACGCACACCGAGAACTATAAGGATGCAACTAGAGATTTCTACAAAAATGTTAATTCAATGAGAACCAAATTAGATGCATAGAATCCAATTGAAATAATCAACAGCGACAAAGGTGAATCAAAAAGTGAACAGACACAAGTTGTAAAAACATGAAGACAAAACTGACTAACTGACTGACTGACTTTCTACCCCACTAGGACATCACAAAAGCGATAAACACCCGATGACACAAAGTGCCACCATGTGAATGAGGATCGCCGTGGAGATCAATTGAATATAACGCAACACTGTTTAGCATTCGTCGACAAAGAAAATGCATTTGACAGAGTAGATAGGAATAAACTATGGGCAATCTTAAACGTTATAGTATGAAGACGCATCTAAGAAAGAACAGTGGACGTACTGTGAGAAAAAAAGGAGGACACTCAGAACCATTCACCATAAAATTGGAGTACCGCAAGGCCGTGTCGTGTCTCCCATTCTATTCATAACTTTCATTGGTAGCATCTGCAAAGAAACCAAGCAAGCAACGACTAAATTATACCAAAAACTTCAAACACTTAGGAAGCATAATATCACCAGCTGTCAAAACAGAAAGTGAAATAAATGACAAATTAACAGGGCAAACCAACTCAATAGGAAAATGACACTAAATTGCCAATAGAAACCATAAAAGCACTCTATGATACAATCATCTCGCCAACGCTCTTCTACCAATGTCAGACCTAGAGAATTACAGGAAAATAAAAAATAAAAAAAAAAAATACTAGGGAAATGAGATTCATTAGAAGGGCTTTTAATGTAACAATAAGAGAAACCAGAAACGATTAAATCCGAAGGAGAAAGGGGAGTAGCGGCAACTCTTGATTTCATTAGAAGACAACAGGTGAAATGGTTTGGCTATATAAAGGGGATGTCCGCAAACAGTATACCTCAGCAAACAAAGATGTACAGACCAGGCGTGAAAATAAGAAGAGGCTGACGACGCAGATAATGGACATATTGAATAACAGTCATGGAAATCCCTATTTATAAAACAGACAAACGGACAGTTTCCCGTAAATTGTACTTCATCTCGACACCGCAATGTACAAGAGGATCAAGATGAGATGATCAGATGCCCCATGACAGATGTCCCACGACAGATGTCCCAGGACAGATGTCCCAGAACAGATGTCCCAGGACAGATGTCCCAGGGCAGACGTCGCAGTGTGTCCATGCATTAGGACTGTCCTGGGTTGTGTGTGGGGAGAGGGGGTTAGGGGACGGGGGGGGGGGGGGGGTGTTCATTACAGCCCAGGACCTATATGACGATTGATTGGCAGCTTTCTGTATTTCTAGACGACAGTGTTATATATTGCGCTATGAGTGGGCATAGGACTCACAGCCCATGGCGATGGCGAGCGTGGCTAGTAAGAACCACCCGAGACCTATATACGCCCTAAATATTCTGGGGAAAAGGAGCTCGACATAAATCTGACAGATAACTTATCGTCTGTAGTCAGTCTATAAAACGTGGATCTAACATATGTATAGTCTATTCTACGGCTTAGAAGAAAGACATTCACTTACACATGTATAATTCGGACACCTCATTTCCTCTCCAGGGCGCCTCACTGAGCGTCATGAAACAAGCAGCCAGTAACTACATTCTTAGTTGTATCGAGACCGGCAGTAGACTCGGTATCGTCCAGTTCAGCACTAACGCCACGGCTTTGTCTCCACTGACCGAAGTCAAGTCTGAGAATGATCGATTCTCGTTGATAGATTCGCTGCCAACAAATGCTGATGGCAAGACCAGTATTGGATCAGGACTCAAGAAAGGTGTCGAGGTAAGGATATCCGTACTCTCTAGTCATCGCACTGTAATCTGGTAATCTGGTAATTTTAATTTCAACTTCACAGCAAACGGGTCACCCCATCTTTGCTCCGCTCCTGTGCCAACGAAAAACACACAGAATGTTTATCACAGTCCCTTATGGAAAGACAAACTACTGTGTCAGCAAATCTAGCATACACTCGCATTAAAAGCATATGGTAGCCATCCGAAGTGCTAACACAAACAGTCTGACGTTAGAAATGAAGTTCATCGTTGATGGTAGCAGAAGTCACCAGAAGATCAGCAGTTGCACACGCGATCAATTTTAATCAAATAATGGCTCCACCAATATTGCGACAACCGGCATCACGCCATTTTCTGAATCTACAAATCATACCACCACGTTGGTCAGTCGAAAAACATTCCAAATGAAATCTGCAGCTCACAGTGTCACGCCATGCACTCAACTCAGAAGCTGGGTAACGAAACTATATACTTCTAGTCTACAAATTGAGCAAAAAAGCAACGGCCACAGTCTGGCAGAAGCAAAACAGTGGCGGTGCCTAGGGTTCATTTGGACCTGAAGCATTATGTGAGGGTTAATAAACTGTCACCCCAGCAGTACCCTACTATTAGCTGGGGAAGGGATTTAGGACATTACATTCACCAGCAAGCGTCGCCCCAATAGCGACCTGACTGCCTTCGTTAACGACTGTTCACCCAACAGCCATGCAGTTCTTTGGCACGAAGGAGACACCTTGAACTTTTGTTTGAACTGCCGACTCCCTACACGAAGATATATGTGTGCTACTGGTGTCCCGTAGCCAAAATACTATCTCACTGTATTACTAAAATTCAGCACGCACACTCAAACGCGCAGTAGTTTAAAACACACACACATACACACACACACATATATACATACACTCATTAAATCGCACTGTGATAACACCCTTAAAAAACCCCATCTTGACAAGGATTAGAATACACAGAGGAGAAGAAAACACAAAACCAAATAGTTCCATAAAAAAAACTACTATATCCCACAGTGAAACAGTTCCACCAAAGAACTACTATTTCCCAAACAGTTCCATGAAAGAACCATTATTTATTTAAACCAAACAGTTCCATCAAAGATCTACTTTTTCCTAAAGCCAAACAGTGCCAACAAAGAACTACTTTTTGTAGACAAAGAGCACTAATCTCGGAACCCCGATTGTTGTAATTTTTATTTAAATTTGACAAGCAATATTAATATCCTCCCCCACCCCCTAAATCATACATAAGCTGGGGGAGGGGCGGAGAAGGGGTGGGCTGTTTTTAAAATGTGAATTAGGGTCGCTTTAGTGGCGTAGCGATTAGACACTCGCCTATGGGCACAAAAGTCATGCTTTAAAATCCTATTTTTTTTTTCTTTCTACAAATCACCCTGTCTCTCAGTTCGACCCAGCCTTCCAGAACCACCCATCCTTAAATGGGCTACAAGTAAAATCATGGAAAGCAAACGCGACCAGCGTGAAATTTACCACATCACAAACAGAGACCTATCAGTTTATAGAATATTGGTCTAGCAGGACCAACCCAGTACCTTTAAGGGCGTGGGAAAGGGACCTTTACTCTCACTCTACTAACTGTGTGGCTATAATATATGTCCTTTCTGATTCGGGGAGGAAGAACAATTTTTTTTCTTTTCAAAGTGATATCACACAGTCCAGTTGTGAGAATGGAGGTGGAGGCAGTCACTGCTACATTCCGCTTGCTTAAGAATCAGCTGTACAGACATGCCGTGATTGTAACTAACTTACAGAGCATGTTGAGAAATGTGGAGACAGGTATGCTATGTGCAGATTGGAAAGCATCACTTCAGAGGTCCCGAGTAGTTAGCATTCTTTGGATATTTTCTCTAGGTTATGCCGGTGTGTTGGGAAATGAGCAGACTTGCAGGTTTTGTACCACTTGGTGATGAACTGATGTATGATTTGCCATATAAAGGTTAGTTGCGTATCCTTTACAGGACGTTGCAGAACCAACCCCAACAGCCCCTGGCTGTTGGGTGGTTTTTCTAGGCAAATTTACGTCCAGTAGTTTGCCATTGCTTTCTGGACTGTCAGCTTTCTTGATACCACTGTCGAAACCAACGCAAGGCGCATGGCCCGCAGCTGAAATCGAGCCCGGCATCCCGGCATTACGAAGCGTTCGCATCGACTTAGCCACAGAACCGACGAATTGCCATATAATTTTATAAAAATTATGTGTAGACGAACATAATAGACCCACTACTCACTTAACAAGCATGCCTTACAAGTCGAACTATGACGGGCGTTTCCTTTAGAGTCGATGAACCAACATTCAGCTTGCAAATAATCCAGATCTGTAAAACGGATTTGGACGCAAAACTCACGTTCTGGATCGAGATCAAAGTCCAGAAGTGAGAGAACAACCAGAACTTGCAGCTAGAGTTTACAGCTGGTCAGCGCGATGAAGACGAAGAAGAAGTAGAAGTTAATGTTTTGGAATGTAGATCTTTACCTTTGTTTAACACCAGTTAGATCTACTTATATATCCGCTTTAGCTTTGTTTAACACACGTTAGATCTACTTATATATTCGCTTTACCTCTGTTTAACACAAGCTAGATCTACTGATATATTCGCTGTTGGCATTTAGGTGCTGACACAGTTCGGAGATGCCCCAGGAGGATCCATCATTCTCATTACAGACGGGAAAGAGAACGAAGGGCCCTATCTGAAAGACTTGAGACCTGCTCTCATGAAGCGAGGTATGTGTCAACTGTCACTATAAAAACTGCAATGTGGCATAAATTTAGATAAGAACAGGCTCTATAGGTCATTGCTTCACCTGTTGTAAAGCTCTGTTAGCCTATTTATATAACAGTATAAATAACAACAGTAGGAAGATAAAAGTATAATGAAAACGTTTAGAAATAAATATTTCTCTTTATTCCTCTTTTTAGCTCTCCCGGTTGTGAACTCGGGAGGAAAGTTCTGACTGTTCGTCCATTTCTGGACTTGGGTCTTGTTCCAGACTTAAAAATTTGCATGTGCATCAGTTTTACGCAAATGACTGATTTGAATGCAGACTGTTGGTTCCTCGCCTCTCAGGCAGATGGACTCCGACTTCCAATTGAAAGATTAGTTGTCTTTAACAATATGCTTGTTGTGAGGCGGTGGGTCAAAGGGACCACAGAACCCACACAGGAAAAAAATTGACTCATAAAAATGACGTAGAAGTAAAATAAAAACGATAACAACAAAAAGAAGGGGAGGAGGAGGAGATGATGATGATGATAAAGAAAAAGAAGAAAACGAAGTAGAGGAAGAAGAAGAAGAAGCAAAAGAAAAAGAAGAAAAAGAAAAAAGAAGAAAAAGAAGAAAAAGAAGAAGAAGAAGAGGAAGAAGAAGAGGAAGAAGATGATGATGATGATGATGATGGATGATGATGATAATGATGGTGATAAGCCTAATCATGAAGACGACAACAAAGAGAATATTCCTTGACAGACAAAATTATTTGAAACCCATCTTGCACAGCAGGCTGATTTGCGAAATGAGCTTGGGTAAAAAATATAAAAAATGCGAGCTCTGCATCACAGCCCCTGCGAAGTTTGTTCCCTTAGTGCTGGATCAGACAAAAGGTCTCTAGATCTGGCTTATTGGAGCGAACAAACAGCAGCAGTAATAACAACAACAAAATTCACATCAAGACAAACCATAAATTACACACGTCTCTCTCCGCCCCTTTTGGAGCCTTTCAGCTGGAAATCTGGACAATTAAATGACATATTATGATGTCTCTGCTTTTTTTTTTTTTTTTTAAAGATGCAGAAATTTCTTGACACTTTTATTTCACCTGAACACTTGGTACCTATTTATTCTGGCCAACTTCCTCGTGTGAAAGCGACCAACCGTTCGTTTCTTCTGTTAGACTACTATAAAGCACACGGTAAAGATGGATATTTAAGGTCAATGTGTATACGTGTATACAGGAGATCGCAGATTGTGGAGAGGCATTATCGCCCACGCCAGTCGGCTAGGCACTTGATGATGATGATGATAGTGTATACTGCTACATAAATCACAAGTAAAAGTAAATGCTCGCATGGGTTCTCCTCCGAACGGCGTCATAATATTATGGCGGCCATAAAATATCCAAAAATATCCGAACGGGGCTCAGTTCTATTAAAAATATGCCGGCTCCGTATAACGAAACAAATGCTCTAACAGGGTCTCAGCGATATGTTACTTGTGGACATGTTTCTGTTTCTGTGCCTCACCGCCGACTGTATCCCCCGCGCCGCTACGCGCGGCGTGGATGGGGGCTAAACTAGATTGCTGGGACTCACGAGCAGCAGCTACCGCATCTCCTGCAACTTCCTCCAATTTGCTCGTGAGTCCCAGGCAGTAACTTTAATCGCGTTTTGCGCATGCCGAAAAGTGTGAGGATAGTCTGGTAGTCTGGTAGTCTTAGTTTCAGCTTCATAGCAAACGGGTCGCCCCATCTTTGCTCCGCTCCTGTGCCAGCGAAAAACACTCAGAATGTCTATCACAGTCCCTTGTGGAAAGATTGACAGACTGCTGTCTCAGCATATCTAGCATACACTCGCATTGAAGCATATGGTAGCCATCCGAAGTGCTAACACAAACAGTCCAACATTAGAAATGCAGTTCATCATTGATGATAGCAGAACTTGTCGTCAACAGATCAGCAGTTGTCCGCGTGATCAATTTTAATACGGGTCCCGCCAGCATTGAACTGTCGACAGGCATCGCGCCATTTTCTGAATATACAATTCACACCACCGCGTTGGTCACAGTCGAAAAAAAACATTCCAAATGCAATCCGCAGCTCACAGGGTCACGCCATGCATTCAACTCAGAAGCTGGGCGACAAAACTATATCCAGTCTACAAATGGAGCAAAAATGCAACGCCACCGTTCGGCAGAAGCAAAAAATTTGCCTCTCTTCCGAACGGCGCCGCTGTCTAGCGTCCATT